CTGTGATGTGCTTCAACATCAACTACAAATGGATGGAGTTCCATGGTAACGATTCGGCATTGGCATTCCCAGGTGCCAAGATCGTACATCGGCCTCAAGATGACGCCTGCCATGTTCAGCGCTGGGTCCGTCCTATGACGGGGCGAGCCAAACAGAACTAGAGACAAGACCCGTAAAATAGCAAGTCTGGTTGTGAGCCAGGTCTAGTATTCTATTTTTGATATTGAGCCTGTATTAAGCGCCCATGATGATTGGATTGCAGCTGTAAACGCGAATTTGGCTGAAACCGGATCCCCAGGCCCAGCTGCTGTTGGCTATGGGTGGCAATTCTGGCATTGACTTGTAGCTTCGGCGTTTGGCTTGGGACTTTCGACTTTTCCACCCTGGATCCTCCTCAACACAAAAAAATAAGCTGACTTGTTCTGCATTGGTGGGCCAGATTCATTATTTTCATCAAGAGTTGAAGCGGAGTCTGCGATTGGCGTGGATCTGCTTGGCTCTGGAAGCCCAACTCTGATCCAACAGGGATAAATGGCCATTGGCTCTGAACGAGCCTGGGCGCCCGAAACTGATTCAATGTTTGTGCCACAGTCGCGTTAAGGAGGACCTTAAAAAAGCTACGCCTGGCGTAGCAGTTGGGCACTACTGACTACTGCCACCCATCCGCCGCAAGCTCGCACCATTTCGGTTGTCATTCCACCACGGGTGGACTTGGCTCAAAATTCAGTGTCCTGAGTTAGTGCAGAGGCTTGTTCGAGTATCACAATTGCTGCTCTTGCAGCTTATTCCACGTGCAGGCGGGGACGATGTGTTTGTCCATAGCACACCAAATGACATGCTGCTTTTGACCATGCAACTAAAGCTCCCAAAGATGAGCCGAGCAGTTGAATTGATTCGTCGTGTGCACCTGTTGTCGTTATGTGCCTGACTTGTTTATTCCACGCCATGAGTGGCACAAGTCATCGATTGCGCGAGTCCATTCGACTTCGCACCAAGGAAGTCGAGCTTGGAGGAGCAACCGCACGAGGCAAGTCCAAGACAAATTGCAACGCATCACACACCCGACGCACACACACACATGTGCATGCATTCACATTTACTGGTTGTGCCGTATATACGTGAATGGACATAATGTAGAAATATATGGTCCCGTGTTCCGTGTTGCTACCCGCCCCCCCCATATGGTATGGGTCCCCCAGGACCAGGACCCCCCCCCCCCCGCCCGGCCCTGAGACCCCGAGCCTCCGGATCCTGGCACCTACGGTCCCCCCACCCCAACCCCCTGAACTCGCACCCCGACACCCCGGCACCCCCACCCGCAGGACAAGCCAACCCGCAACCAACCATAAACCAACCCTAAACCAACCCCAAATATACCCTAAACCAAACCCTAAACCGTAGACCTCTAAACCTAAATCAACATAAACCAACCCTAAACCAACCCTAAACTAACCCCAAATACACCCTAAACCAATCCCTAAACAATAAACCCTAAACCTAAACCAACCCTAAACCAACCCTAAACTAACCCTAAACCAACCCTAAATACACCCTAAACCAAACCCTAAACCGTACATCTCTAAACCTAAACCAACCCTAAACCAACCCTAAATCAACATAAACCAACCCTAAACTAACCCCAAATACACCCTAAATATACCCTAAACCAATTCTGAACCAACCCTAAACCACCACAACCCAACCACAGGACCACAACCACAGGGGGGGGGTACTTGTCCGACCCATGACCATTGGAGGGGGGGGGCTGGCAACGCTGTCCTATATTAGTGTGTATGTATGTATATATGTATACCTGCACATGATGCTGCACATGTGTACATATGAACCTGGGTGCGCATAGGCAATTCCTCACCTCTTTATTCACACTACCTGTTCTTAAAGGTGTACCTTTCAATTGTGGGTCTGTTGGGCATGTCAGAATCGGTACCCTGATCTGCGTTCTTTCCAGCGACATTCGTGCCATTCAACGGATTCCAAGCTTGGGTCAAGCTTTTTCCCCGGCTGGTCTTTCAAACTACTCTTCTAAAGCTTGTCCACTCCCCAGGCTGCATAGCATGGCCCCGTGCTATCTCAGGTATATAAAAGACTCGTGTGGCGAATGATGTTATTGTTGAGTCGACCTGTGTCCGGGTGAGAATCGTACGATTAGCCTCGAATAGGTAGCTTCTGCGGTGCCGCTGGATCGCTTGGGTTGTGCATCAGAGCAAGTGCATCATAGATCACATGGAAGTAGTTAGTCAGAGATGCGTTTCCATGTTAGATTTCGGCAAGAGCTGCGTTCCTTCTTACCCACAGCTGTATGCGTCATCCCACGTGGTTGTTTGCTATGATCCAGAAGTTTGGACTTTCTGCTCCTGTACACGGTGGACGGCATCGCCAAGATATGAATGTTCCGGTTGTGCTCAGCGGGAAACAGTGGCATGGAGCTTTGAAAGCCTGGCTGCTTGCTTGATAGCTGTTCCCTAGGAAGCAACCCTTACCATGGAGTCTTAGTTACTTGTACTTACTATCCAAGGTACCGTTTAAGAAAAAAGAAAAAGCAAAAAAAAACAGCTGCTAGGGCCCTTCAGTGGAGTATGAATCAGGCGTCAGAATGTTGGCCCCTTGCAGAGTTTTGCGCACCGATGTGGACGGTGTGTCCCAAGCCGCCGAGTTCAACGCTGCCAGGGCGCATTCATTGACGTGGTGCTGAACGGTAGCCCCGCAGCGGAAGCCGGGTTGAAGGCGCGCAACATGTCGTAGCGCGTTGGGCAGCGGTTTGGGCTTTGGGCTCTCACCAAAAAGAAACACAGATCTATGAGGATCTAGCGTGGTTTGACAAGGGGTGCTAGAGCCAGCGCGCTCTTGGTGATCCGGAAGCACTCTCAGGCTTAACCCCACGGCTTATGGCTTCTCACTGGGCCTAATGACTCTGATCGCTGGCCGGTATCCTGTCAAACGGCGAACTGTCTGCATCTGTGTCTGTTAAATCATTTGTCAATCAGTCAAGGTCCGGTTACCGTGGTTTCGTAAGGACCCCCAAACTGAGCATGTTTTTGGGGGTAAACACAGTCGGTTGACTCCTCTTTGTTTCGGTTTTGGCAGGCGAGGTTTCAATCCACTGCAGAGAACCACGCCCCTGACAGGAGGACGATCAGATCGCGGAAGTGAACGGACACAAAGTGCGTCACTTTGACGAGGCGCTCGCCGAACCAGAGAGTTAGGACAGAAAACATGCAGTCATGTTTTGCATACCGCCGGCATTACGACTGTTTGGCCAACGGCATTGTGCAAAGCCGTTGGGGCCTTTTGTCACTTGTTTATCCTGTGATGCAACCTGTGCGGTGGCTTGTACAGTTGGATTTTCACTCAATGGATTCCTCGCCTGGATTTGAGCATGCCTGTGTGCTGCGTGTATGTGTATCTGTACGCAAGTGGGCGAGCACATGTGGTTGCCAAGTCGCAGCATCTCTTGAACCCTTGACCAAGATTTGAGGGTGCTTGAAAGTGCATCCCAACATCTCCAGCTGGTAAGTCTGTATGACTGTAGGACCTTCCACTCTGTTGCCACGAAGAACACTAAAAGATGTGCAATTGTTGCCCGCAGTGGACACATCTCAACTTGTTCTTGCCATACCCGCCAAGCGAGCTCAATCACTTGGGGTCCCATGCCAATCTGTGGGGTTCAAATTCCATAGCAGCGACACTTGTAGAGGTTTTTGCAGAGCTTCAGACCTCCGGATTTGTTGGCGTTTTTCTTCAAGAAGCAAAGGTGGACCCACCATGCGGAACCGTCTGCTTTGTGGGCAAGCACCCGCATGTGCATCCTTAAGTGCATTGTTTTCTACAATTTCAAGTCGTGCCCCCCCTTCTTTGGATTGTTACTTTCTCGGCTTGCATAGATAGGGTTCGAATCGCGGATGTTCCGCGGAAGGGCGGAAGCTTATAATATAGTTTTTGTTGGTACAAGGACAACGTGTATGGTTGCGGAAGCGCGGCGGAAGCCAAGAAGTGAAACAGGCCAGGAGAAGGCATGTACAGCAACCCACATGTAGGCAACAGTATCGATTTTGAGTGCTCCCTTGGTGGTTTCTGGTGGTATTGTCTATTGATCATACCACGGCAGCATCATGCCACGTCCTGTCCTTGCCAGGTGCAGATGGCAGTTCGCTCAGCTTCCGTGGGCAGCCGGCTGAAGCTGAAGGCGGCACCCACGGAAAGGGGGGGGGCGGCAAGTCACCCCCATAGGTGTCCTTTTTGGTTGTTTTGAACGAAGAAAAGATGGCCCTTGGCGGTTTAATCATCTACAGGGCCATCTATTTCCCCCAAAAGGACACCTATGCTCACCCCATGAAGATCTTGAACCCAGGGTCTTTCACGTTTGGGAATAGATGGGTTAGTAAGTTCGCCAGACGAATACTTGAACATGGACTAGTTTTTTTGGGCTTCACGGCGATTGCGGTTGCGAGTCGCGGGCTGACGCCACCCACTTGGGACAGAACAGTTTGACCGATGCAGAGTCAAAGTGGGTGGTGAGCGAGCTACCACTTGGAAAGGCATGCAAAGACCTGCATGGATTTAAATGGCGTCTAATCAGCAATTTCTCAAAAGGGTTTAAGAGCGCCCCTAAGGACCTGAAGAAAGGCTCATAGATGCGGACCCTACAGTTTTGCAAAGGTGTGAAGTTCCATCTTGTTGGAAATTGCCGGAGCCCGTTGCTGCGAGCCTTGTTTCTTGTTACGTTGCCCTGCTGGGCATTGCTTGTCACTGCCGATTGTAAGTCTGGCTTGTACTTACAGGCAGAGTATGGGGCGTTGTCAAGCCACAGTTCGGTCCAATGCAACCACCAGCGTGGCTTATTTTCAGCCTGCCTTCTTGGCCACAAGCACGTCAGCCCAACGTGGTAGGATGCTGAGGGGCGTCAGTACTATTCTTACCAATCCCATCGAATGAAAAACGACAATCCCCTCATCCTTACAGGGGGTGGAGCGCAAATTCCGACTTCGCGGGTTCTTGTGCGCCGTGTTCCCAAGATTTGACTACGTCGGGTTGAGGGCCAGTAAGCAAATGTAGACCACTGTGAGGATATGTTTGATTCTTTGACCGCCAACTCCACAGACACAATTCAATGTGTATCGAGACCTAGGGGCCACTGGGTTGTTTATTCCAAACTCCAAGATCCAGTAAGGGCCCCGAACGTCCCTGGCCAGGTGAGGCGGGGCAAAGAGTCGCCACCTAAGAGCCAGCAGCTGTCCTCTCTGCAGGGGTTTGCAGGTATGGGTGAACAATCCGGATCCTGTCACTTCCCGCTCCCTGACACTGATGTGCTATGTCGCATTATGTCTCTCAGTGCATAGGTCAAGATATGTGTGTTTTCGGAGAGAGAGCTGCAGGGAATCTGTCCAAGTGTTCTTGCGGTAGCAGCTTGTTGGCCTTTCCAAAGCCGCGTGCATTTCAGCGCTGACAAGCTGAATCATAGGCAGACCATCTCCCTCAAATGCTTTGGCATTCCGAAAAGTCCCAGAAATCACAATGACTTGAAGACTCATCCTTGCAATAGTGTTTGTGTTTGCGGTTCCAAAGATTGCAGATCGTTACATAGCTTGTTTGCTTCTCCCTGCACATATAGCAGGCGTGTTTTCTCCGATGCAGCCCAGAAATGTCATGCTCCCTTTTGGCTTGTCGAATTCGTCGAACATCTCGCACATCAAGAAGGGGTGTTATTCGCAAGGTGCAAGATGCCGCACGAAACAACACGTCGTGTGAACACAAATCTGCAGTAGGCTTGGGATGTACGTGGATGTACCCAACATACGTCAGCGTTTGAGCAATTGCCAAATGCGGTGGCTACTGAAGTCACTTTGTCATGGGAGGGCCTCAGATGATGTTGTCTTCAAATGGCATGTGCGGAAGTGCCCGAAAGTTTTGACAATTTGTGCCAACACAATGAGCTGCTGAAAAATGTGCAAAATGGCAGGTCTCAGCAGCTTCAAAGTCTTACCTTACCATGCTTTACATGGAAACCAGAAGGAAGCCAGCCATTTGGAGGCCGCTTGCTGATGGTGATGATATCTACTGGGCAAATGAGACTAGTGGCATTCGATGCAAAATATCAAGCAGCTCGCATAAAGGAAGCTATGTTCATCAGGGGGACTTCATATCACGGGCACGCAACTCGATCCCTTGACGATGATGACACTGGAACTGGACTATTGTGTGATGGCAAATGATAAGATGTGGTGGACACTTGGAAATGCTCCTGTTCAGACAGGTCAGAACCAAAGATCGATAATTCCAAAGGGAACCTACCGAAGAAAACTCGTTCCGGGTGTGGTGAAGCTGGGGCCTTGAAACTCTTGACGGCATGTTGGGCGTATCAAAGTCAGAAACTCGGATTGCTTCCTTCAACCTGCCACGGGGGGAATTTTGATAGTGGTAACCCCTGGGGGCCAGTTCTGCTGAAGCTGCTGGGTCATCACATTGCACCTGATCATTCTTGAGACCTGACTGAGGTCTCTGTCCAAGACGCTGACCACCGCGGACATCCGAAAGCTGCGAGAGGCGCGATGGATGGGCTTCACCGCGAGTTGAGGAATGATATGCTTTTAGGGACTCGTAATGCTAAACCATGAGCCATCCGTCCTGGGGTTAGTGTGAGTACTTGTGTTGTGAACTGTCGCAGTCGGCATATGACAAAATGAGCGCTACCTGCCACCATTTCTCGAACCCGCTCTGTCTGTTGGCACCCAGAGGCCACAGAAATCACAGAGGCTTTGTCTCGGTTGCTACTAGGTGCTGGGGTTAACTCGACTCAGCTTGTGTGAAGTCGACTCGAAAGCAATTGCCCATGCAGATCAGCACTCAAAACCATTTTGTAGCAGACGTATGGTGTTAAGCAATGTGTGCATGTTGTGTGCCCATGCGATTTGTGCTTGTTGTCTATTCTTGCTCGAGGACGGAAACCGGGCAATATTCCACACGCATTTCTGCCTGCGGCTGCTACTTGCATGTGCGCATGCTGGTTGCCTATTTGGTTGCTGGTGGCCAACAGCACTACCAGCTATCAAAGCACGATTCCCGCCCCAGGTTGCAAATGCGTTGGAAGGCTGCCCGTACGGTGCCCCTGGCTGAAATGATCCAGCAGGGGGAGTGCTACCGTGCTGCCCAGTCCCTTCAAGAGCATGAAGCAAGGGAATCACCCAGAAGAAAAAGGAAAAAAGGGTGCCACCGAACAAACACCTCCAGAAAATGGCTGGTTGGATACTCTGGACAACTCTGCTCGGGCTAAGTCGTAGCTTATCCAAGTCGCTCTGAAGGGGTCGAACTCCTGCGTCAGGCGGGTCCCCAGGCCAGCCCAAAGCCGCAACACCGTGTGGCGCGGAGCCCTTTGGGGTGATCGCCGGGAGGCAGCGAGTAGTAACCCTAAATGGAGGCCTTTCACACCTGGAATGGCTTTGGGCTTTTCCAACATACTGGGCAATTGCCAAGCAGCCTGCCTACTCAACAATCTCACCACACACTCTTGCAACCTCAGGCGGCAGTGCATCCGGGCTTAACTTGAAATGACTCTCCTCATGGGCCATACATGATGTGCTTCTTTGTTCCCCATCTGAAACGAAGACTGCCGACGAAGTCAGTGGCCCCCTGAGAGCATGTTGGCCCCGGGCCGGCTAGCGTCAGCTTCGACTGAGTTTTTCCTGGGCTCCAGCATGGTGGATGAACTGCGACCACGTTGGTTGCAAGGGGCAGTCAAAGATAGCAAGTCCGAAGTCATTGCGTATTTCATATGGAGTTGTGTCGCACGGGATGACTTTGAGAATGGCAAATTGAAGAGAGAGGCGGTAAAGTCCTGCTGCGCCAGCATTTTTTTGGGGCGAGATAGTGCGTTGCCACATCAGCCTTTCTGTAGTCTTACTTGTGACTTGAAGTGGTCGATATGCTATTGACTCAGTGTTCGGCCAATGATGCTTGAAAAGCCCACCCCTGATGCATTATCCTTGTCAAAGTCCACAGGCGAAAGAACATCTTCTCTCCTTGCTTTGTGCGGCGAGTTACCTGCATGACCCAGCCTGAGTTGCAAGATGGGTTCCAACCTATGGATAAAGATCCGGCTTGCAGCTTTGTGTACACTGTTGCAACACCTTTGCTGATGCTGTTGCTAACACTGTCATGAACTTACTTCCATTTCGGCACTGTATGGTCGACACTGTGCCGATGGTGCAGTCTCAGCAAGGTTGATAGGGCCGTGTGGCAATGGTACCAGCATGGATCAATAGTTCCACAAGATACAGCAGCACTGCTGCCGTTTTTGTCCCCCTATCATCTTTGTGGCTTGACGTTCAGACAACCTGGGAATATAAGCCCTCCATCCGCAGGTGCAAATGTCGCGTGTGATGGCACCTTCCATATCGACTCCCCTCTCCAACAATGCACTCTGCATGACTTGGCAAAATAGTGCAACAGGAGGGCATGCAGATGGCAAGAGCATTCAGAGCCGTCATACGTCTCGCATTGGGTCAAACAAAATGTGCGCAGCTTGCATGCAATTCATACTCCCTTACATCACATTCCGCCGTTGGCCTCTAGCTCAATTGTACAATGCTATTAATCTTGCAGGCATGATTCAACACTTGGTCTGTTTTGCAAACGAGAGTGGACGATGTGAAGCATTCTTGTTGCTCGCTAGGTCATTATACCCTGAGTTTCGGAGGGGCATTCCGGGTCCGATGTCAACACGACATCGACATCCAGCACTTTCCTTGCATGCTTGGGCGTCCGGCCCACATTGGCCAGATGTTCTTGTGTCACCATCTGCAGATTCAAAGCTAGCCTGCAAAACTCCACAAAGCTTGGAGGACAGACCGTCACGAGCCCAGATTTATGGACCTCGCATTTCAAAAAGGCATTGCGAGCCGCTAGACATCGAAGCCTGAAAGGGCAGCACCAGCCTGCACAGCTAGGTATTGTGAGCAGCGAAGCCCGAAATGTGGGGTTGCAAGGTTCCGATGGGCGCAGAACCACGAGGGTTCAGAGGGCACAAAATCGGACTTGAATATGGCAGCGTTGATGTGCCAACCTGTGGGCTCCGGAATCATCCGGGCGTGGGCCTTGACAGCAACAGCACTCATAATCAAAGGAGACAAGCAGTGAGTGATGAAACATGGAGGGGATCATGAAAAGGCAAGTCCTTGTCGAACGTGAGAGCTCATCCTGGTGGGGCGCCGCCAAGGTTCAATGCAGCGACTCTAGATGGCAAGGCAGAAATGCTTCACTTGTGCGATCCACGCCCACGATTTCTTTGCCACCGCCTTTGGCAACAGCGAATTCAATCACTTGTCCGCATGTTAAGAGGCAGCGGAGGTAGCAGCAGCACTGAAGAGCAGCTTCATACAATCATAGGCTAATAGGTATCCTCGATTGAAGCTTGCTTGGGCTGCCTCTGTTGGCATGCAGCACATGTTGAGCCTGCGAGCACTTGAACTACTCAACACCTGAATTGGGCAGCTCACAAGGAGAAGCATGGCACTCAAGCCCTTCAAGCTGACCCATGTGCTGCGCCCAGCTGTCCCAAGCCTCCATGTCAAGGATGCCCCTTGGAAGGCTCGCGAATTGAATGGAGAGCAACAGCGGCAAGGTGGAACGATCACGTGCGCAAAGTGGCACCGGAGGGCTCGTGCTCCATGGCGGAGTCGAAACTTGTATTTCCAAATCTTCCAAAAAGGCACAGATGAGGCCCGCTAGAAGGTGCATTCAAATAGAAAATGATCCAAACAAATAGGTTTCCTCACATTCCATGCCTGTTGCTTGCGATCGCTAGGTTACTTGTTGCTTGTGCCAAGAGGCGGCAGTAGCGCTGCAGAAAGCAAGGGAGGGATTTGGGAATTACTCGTAGGGGCCGGCACGCATGATGCTTGTACATAGATCAAGGCTTTGCTGGTTTTGCCGTTTGTGTGTGTGTGTGTCCTTTAAGCCCTTCTGAGATCAACTATAGAAGCATCAC